AAGTATATGTGAACTGCTGTATGGAAAGTGAATTTGCTCTGTAAATCTTCACCCAAATCACAATTAAAAATAAATAAATAAATAAAATTCTTCAAGTAGGGAGGTTAGCTTTAGTTGGAAGGGACATAAGACTGTGTTCATTTGTAATGTCCCTAAACTCTCTGAAGTTGTGTACGCTCAGCTGAGTGTCTCCTAGATACCCTGGCACTGCCTGTGAGTTTGACAGGAAAGGGAAGGAGGAGTATGTGAGCATTAAATTCTGAAGTGTAATTGACATAGCCCACATGGTTTTCTAAATTTAAAAATGTGCTTAGGAAGCACCCTTTTTTCTTGTTTAATCAGCTCTCTGCTCACACAAGCTTGACTCCTTTTTTAATCATCAGGCTTACTGCATGTATCCTCCCCAAACAGCAGTATTCTAAATCAAGGCATGGTTCTCGTGGATTTACAAATTGGGTTCTTTTGGGATTAAATTCAAATTCCTAGCCTAATCTACCATTAATTATGGGAGTTTTAAAGTGAAGTTGTGCAGCCAACTCTAAAGTACAGCAAAATCCTTGCTGGTTTAAAACTTTCAATTTGAGAAGGTAAATATTAAATGTGTGAGAGTTCAGGTATTAAAGTTATAAAATGATGTATAAGATAAGATAAACATTTAAGTCACTCAGTCACATCTTTTCTTTTTTCCCTTTCATTTATTTTCCTTAAGAAGTTCGGGTGGTGAAGTAGTTAAAGCATTTGCTACTGACCAAAGGTCCATGTTCAAACCCACCATGGAAGAAAGATAAGGCAATCTCCTTCTGTAACCCATATGGGACAGTTCTACTCTGTCCTATAGGGTTACTGTGAGTTGCACTCAACTTGATGGCTTGATGGCAGTAGGTTTGGTTTGGTTTCTTTCCATTGCTTCCCTTCCTTTTTTTAAACTTTTTTTTTTTTTTTTCCCTCCTTTCCTGTGCTGTCTTCAATTTGAGGTGAAAGAGCTGCTGGGAAATACGCATCCAGTCAAATATCCATGGAAGGATTTATATTTTTCCATTGACTTATTTGTAGGAAAGTGCCATTCAGGTTAAGTATAGAGTAAGATAAAATATCTCTCACTGAGTTGATAATTTTTTAACTTTTAAGTTTGATTTCAACAAAAAAAGGATAGGTTTTTTTTTTTTTTTTTTTTGTTGTTGTTCTATACATATGGTTTCATCCTAGTCTTGAAGATATTATACAACTTTGTGAATTGTCATTGATTTACATCTATGAAAAATTAAATCACCGTTTGTTATTTTTTTCTCACATAGGTTTCAGAATTTCTTAAAGTCAACAACAAATATCAAATAGTCTTAGTATTATAACATAGCCTCTGCACACAGACACAAAGGAACTGGAACTTCAACTTATACATGTGAGCTAAATGGGTAACTATATATTTTATTAGACATTTATTAGACATTCTAAATGTTGTATATCATTACTCTCATTTTTACCAGATTCCTGGATATGTGGAGTATGCCTGCTGGGAATAATTTAAACTAATTCTGAGAAAAGTAAATTTGTTTCTGTTTTTACTTAATGGATGAGTTTTTAGCTATGTACTTTGTTGATTGCCGCTGTTTTAATGTCATATCAGAACATAACCTGTGACCTGAGAGAATATTAGATTGAGCAGTTAGATCATATTTCTTCTAACACTAGGTGTCACTAGAGTTAATCACATTTCTATGGATGGTCTCAAAGACTACATATAACTGAAAAATGCCCATTAAAAAAAAAAAAAAAAACATATTTTCAAGTATTTTACAATATCTTGAATCTATGCAGCCACATCATATTTTTCTTTTCTTTTCTTTTTTTTTCCCTCTAAAGCGAAGAAGTATCTCAGTCATTTGTTTTTATCATCTGTCCAAAAACTGGATAGCTTTTTAACATAACATCTGTGGAGACAAAGACCAGCACTATTCATTTTATGACAAGTATGTATGTTAGCCAGTTGGCACTCCTTGCTTCTCACAAGTCTTAAGGGTCTGGACTATTTAATGTGACAGTAGTGCTAAAAATAAAAGCAGGGTGTCCTGTGTTTATATGGACTGCAGTTCACCTCTGTTAGACATTGAACATATCTGTATAATGGTGTAAGTTGATTGAAAGACTTTACTCAAGAGCAAGTTCTATATGGACCTTGAAGAATCGGGTTGACTTTGAAAATTGGAAAGGAGTGGGAAGAGGCATTTTATTTTAGACAGAGAGAAGAGATTAATCAAAGCCCCGGAGATAGTGCAGGTTAGGATTTGTTCAAGAAAAGATGAACAATCTAATGTGATGTCAAGATAGAATACTCAGCAGGGATTAATGGGAGTTAAATTTTAGAGGTCACATTGGGAGAGTTTTGAGTTCCAGAAAGAGGATTTTGAACTCTATTTTATATACCATGGGAAATGATAAGGCCAAATCTGTTTCAGAAGATGATGCTATGGGTACTCAGAAGATGGATTTAAGGAAGAGGCTCCAAAGAGGGAAACTAAATTAGGTGAATGAGCAAGCAGTGAGAACTTAAAGGGCCAGGTAATAAAGGTCTGGTGTAATAAATAGAAAAGAGCAAGTGATGACAGAAGGAGGATTGACAGAATTTGGTGATGGAATGAAGAGATATCTGATATTATTATTATTATTATTATTATTATTATTATTATTATTATACTGAACTCCCTTCTTAAGTTTCTCTTAAAATATAACCTACTAAAACATGGTTTAGAACATAATGTAAATCCAAATTGGACTCTGTCTACTAGAAACTCAAGAATAATGCTTTTTAAAACTTGACCTACATGTTGCCCCATATCATTACTTGTGTGCCTGATGGGGGACTGGGCAAGCTAATAGTGAGACTATTCATACTCTTCTGTTATGATTTGTGAACAGTTTATCATTGAATAAGTCTTGGAGCACAGGTACATGGAAAGATACAGCTGTACAGACTAATTAGAGATATGCATCATCCTGATGCTTTTGCTCCTTTCTATAAGTGACCTCTGGGTCATACCAGCAGCCAGCCATTTTGATTTTCCTGCTTAGGTGACATATAGGACTTTTGCAGACATGAGTGACTTTGGAAATACCTTCTGGTCTTTCACTGGTGGGTGACAGTGACACAAAATGGAAAGAATAGTTGGTCATGTAGTTGGAAAACTTATGTGCAAACTCTTGTAGTGTGACAGGCGTTAATCCTGGAGTTCCTAAATTTTGTTTATCAGATTATCAGCAGAATAACCTGTGATTTCCTTTTAAAATATAGATTCACATATCCTACCCTTTGGAGATTCTGATTTTGTCTAGGATAGAACACAGAAATAGATGTTTGTTTTTTAAACATTAGGGTAATTTTGATAGCTAAATTTGGGAAGTAATGATAAAACTTTCCGAGTCTTAATTTTCATAGGATTGCTAAGAGCATTAATGAGAAAATACATCTGAGTTTTATAAGCCTTAAATCACTGGAAAATATCTGTGGTTAATTAGATTAATTCTTGAATATTTTTTCATTTTTTAAAAAGTTTGTCAATTTTTCATCAGTTTGAAGCTTGACTAAATGACTGTATATTTTTCATTGTGACAGCAAAGAACAAACTAATGAAATCTGTCCAGTTTAATAATAATATATAATATTAATTGGATGATAGTATGTTAAATGTTGAAGAGATGCTAGAAAGTGGGAAACCCTTGCTAGAGTTTTACTTTTACAAATCTGGTGAATAAATGTCAATTAAAAAAAAAAAAGAAAAGAAATACAAGCAGACTTGTTTCTCTATAATTTTAATACAAAACCCACTTTTATTATTGACACTGTGATAATTTAATTTACAATATAGTTTACAATATATTCTGACCTCTGAGTTCCAGAGCAATAGTTTAAGTTAAATACATTGTTCTTTTCTGCATCTCTTCTAAGCAAAAAAAAGTCAAACAAATAACAATAATAAAACATTGAAAAACTTTGTGTCAATAATACCTATGGTGATTTTAATACACATACTTTTCAAATAGTCATCCAAGTTAAAGAGATTTCAGCAGGTCAATACACAATCTATACATAATAATAAGCAGCATAAATGTCAGTTGACCTTGAAGCTTATAGCACATTTGAATCAGTCTCATAACTTATCTTCACAGTTGCTGTGTGTGTGCTAGAGTTACTGGCCTTCTCAGTTCTGAGAGATTTTGTAATACATAGGTCCACTGTATCTTATGACAGTACCACCATACTCCTTTCTTCTGCAGCCTCTCAATTTTCATCTTGTTTATGCTTCTTCAACCTTATGTCTGGATCATTTGCACGTTTATCCATTCTGAGACCTTAGTTCTTCCCCTGGGCCTGTTGAGTCACCTCAAAAGGCAGTTATTCCCCCAGGGTGTCACACTGGCACATTCTTTCTGCACTTGATACCATCTTTAATTCTCTCCAGCCAGGAACTGTCACTTAAGGCTATTAGCTTGTAGGTCATTTAGAAGATTTAGGTAAATCTCTGATTTGAGGAACCTGGGATAGGAGTCTTTTTCCATCAGAGTGTATATGATTTTTTGGACTTCATCAAAACATGTGGGGGTTGGTTCTTTAATCTTCTTGGCTGTAGATTCTCGAGTGTGAAAGTCAATATTGATCTAAAAAGAAATTGTATCAGTTAATATACATTTCTCTTTTATTGTAAGTTTTAAATGTTACTGCACTTTTTGAAACAGCTCAAGGAAGTGGTTTTAAGCTCTCATTCAAATCTCTCTTGAATGTGTACTCTGGGTGAGCCCTACACTAGGTGTGGAGGAGGTAAAAAGAAATATCACAAAAAAAAAAAATTGCTTTTGTTCCTTTTGGTTCCCGTTTTATTTGGGGGTTCCAAGTTGGCTTTTTTTGAAAATTTGATTAAAAAAATAAAAGTTGAAATATTTACATAAAGTGCTATATGTTTCAAAAAAAGTGATGCAGATATTTAAGTGAGGGCTCTTTGTGTATCTATTTTCTGCTTGGACAAGAACTATTGAACCAGAAGGTGGGTACTATTATATTGAAATATTTTTTTTGCTGCTACGATTGTACATATTACCCTAGTCTGCATTTTGTCCTTATCCAAGGGGAGTAGCTCATTAAGGACTCCCCGGCAGGCAGTCCTGGTCAGCAGCACCCTGACTCCTTCCCCACTCCCATTGAGGCATTCTACTTTTCAAAATCAATTTGTTTATCCTTATCTTCCTTATCATCCTTACCCTTTTTATACAATCTTCACAAATATAGGAAATTAGATCATTGCATTGAATTATACCAGTATAACTAAGTGAACAGCAGTGAAATTCTGTTGCCCAAAAAGGATTTCATTTTGCTGTGTATGTTGAATTTGATTTCTGTATCTGAGCTCCTTTACACATAAATGATGATAATGAACTTAATACTCACTTGTTTGGCAGCATCTGAATGCACAAATGCTTTATATATTTTCTCTGCTTTACAATGCAAAAGATCAGACTCTGTTTTTTTATAGTCTTCACAAGCCAGCCAGAACTCAATATTCTCCTCACTGAACTCAGACTTTAGGAAATTTCCAAATACAACTTGACCAGCTAAAAAGAAAAAGAGGAGATAATTTAATTAATTGAACCAAGAAACGAATAATGTGATGTCATTCATAAGAAAAATACTACTGCATTCCCTATGTACAAAGATAGGAGATAGCTCAAATGATACTGCATGAATGCTGGTGTCATAAATTGTAGAGAAGGGAGGCTTTAGGCCAGTTCTTTCTTTTAAAAGGGGAATTTGGGGCCAGACAAACTTGGACACAGTGGCAATGTGTTTTGCTTTCATGTGCTATTTGGATTAGAATTCTCTTTTGCTGATTAGAACGCAACCTCTTTTCTGATCTATACCAAGTGCTAGCCAGAGTGTGGAGTGTTTTAGGGAAGGACACGTGACAAAGGGCATTAACGCCACCAGAGCTCATTGTGTTAATAATTAACAAACATAATTTTCCATTCAATTACTATCAGAAAATGAATTTCCATTCAATTACAGTCAGAAAATGAAAGCCCTATACATTATCCATGTGTCTGATGTACTGGTTATATTTGCTAATGTTATTGAAACTTTTAAATGGACTATATCTACACAGTTTATTTGTTGGGCTGAATTATAAACTCAATCTGGTAATAATATAGCTGAACTAGGTTGAACTAGATACTCCCCAAGCAAGGCTTCTTAGGGTGTCTGTGGGGAAAAGAGAATCAATTTACCATCTAGCTAGACTCCAAGTTGCCTATCTGCACCTTTGAATGACAAGATACTAATCCCAACAGAATTGTAGTTCCCATGATGAGAAAGCAAAATGATTTCATTATTTACCCTTTCTCATCATCAAATTCCCACAAGACTCTTTGTGTTTAGAGACTTTTTTTAAAAAATCATATATATGTTATGCATTTATCATTTATAGTGCAACTATTCACTTCACATATCTCAACTGCCTTGAAAGCAGCAAGGGACCATGTCTCTATTTTTGAATCCTTGGAGTCTCTAAAATGCCTGCCACATATGAATGATAAAACATTCTATTGATTCAATGAGTCCTTCTCCATCCAACCGTACCAAAAAAAAAAATTCTTTAGGCAGTTTGAGAATGAAAATTCACATCTTGAGATATTTGGTTTACATTTAAAAATTGTAAACTTTAGAAACCCAGAATAATTTTTTAATTTTATCCTTGTTCTGATCTATGGGAACAATTATTTATTTTGGAAGATTTTCCCAACAGACAATAGCAGCCTTGTGTGTTAAGTCAATGCTACATTATAATGGGGATAATATGATGAAGTTATAGTAACCACAGAAAAACTAGCATATAACTTTTCACACACTATTCCACCCAGAATACTGCATCTTAATGAAGTCATTCTAGCTATACAGTATTGACCTGGGCCCCAGAACATTCACTAGTTCATGGATACTTACTTTGGTTAGCAAGAAGTTTTTCTAGAGATTGAGACCATTGTATTACTTCATCAGCAGAAAGTCTGAAGAGAACAAAATTTACACAAATTAAATTTTTGCATGTAATCACAAATGAAATCGATATGGCTGCCACATTTTGATAGTTTCATAAGCTATGACTGTGGTTCTAATAAATTTTATTAAAATTTATCTATATAACTAAAATTTCTCTTCTAATTTCCATAATTATGAAAACAATGTGCCAGTAAAGTTTGGAAACATCTAAATCAACATATTCCAACAGTGCAAAAATAAGGAACATAGGCACACCTGTTTTTATCTAATTTCCAATGCTACTAAATGTAGACTATTTTTATTTGGCTTGTGACTTAAAAAAATAAAGACCATTACATGCAGTACTAATCTCTTAGCAGTATACAAAGCTAATACACAGGCTACTCTTGTGATAACAGTTCAGGGTATTAGTGTACATACATGTCCTTAGACTTAGAAGATTTCATTCCAGATTCCAGATGTGGGATCATAGATCTCAAGTATGCTTTCAGGTCCATTCCACTAAAAAAAAAAATACACAGAAGAGAATATTCATATTATCTCAGTGATAATTTTATTTGTAACATTTATTTTTAGATATTTGATTTGTGAAAGGAAAAGAGCATAGAAATAACTTTTCTAAGGGATAAGGCAATAATAAAAATAACTGATACAATATTTTACTCTCTTTAAACACAGCCAATTTCTATGAGCCAAAGTCTGTGGAAAAATTCTCACAAGTCTGATGCCCTATTGTGACTTAATTTTTAATACATCTTAATATTATTGTATAAAATCATGACAGGTAATTGCTCTGACAAGGCTAAATGCTCAGATTCTCTTCCATTCGTTCTCAATCCTTCTGCCATTAAAAATAATCTAAGTTAAAATTCTCAAAGCTAAGTTTAAATTCACAGTGAATAAACTTACAAAGTCTTCGGCCTCTTTTTCTGAGTTGTGTTGTCTAGAAGTGAATGGCCAGTTCCTTTCAACTCCTTTGGATTAGCAGAGAAGAACATTCCTGGCATTTTGTCTAACCTTGGCGTGGAGATGGCTGCTGCTCGCATTGTCCTCACACTGCAAGTATCTGCTTGTCAACGTCTCTGCTGCTTTATATAGTTAAGGCAAACAGACTCTTGCTGTTCAAAGGAGTCTGTTTATCAAGTGATGTTACCACAGACACTGGAAGTTCCCCCTTTCTTGGTGTGTTGTGACGTGTATCTTGAAAAAAAAAAAAAGTATACAGTGATGTCTTGTGGTTGAAACTTAACCAAACGAGAACAGGTCATTTGATTAGAAAGAAAGAAAGAACATTAAACAGACAGAGGCACACAACATATACCACATGTCTCAATCATTATCAGCCACTGGTCTTTGGATTTAGAGAACAGTTGTTTCTTCTTAAAAATTGCATATAATAAAGTATTTCATTTGATGTATTTAATGAATTAAATAGAAACAGCATTAGAGATGTATCCATTCAATTCTTTGGATAGTCTTGACTATAAAATTCATCTGATCACAATATTTTACATAGAACCTCTCATCTTCTCCCTTCACCCTATAGAATCCAAAACCAAAAAACCAAACTCACTGCCATGGAGTCCGACCCAACTCATAGCGACCCCTCCTTTGGTTTCTGAGGCGACCCCTCCTTTGGTTTCTGAGGCGGTATCTCTATGGAAGTAGATTGCCCAGCCTTCCTTCCGGTGAGTGGCTGGTGGGTTTGAACCGCCAGCCTTCTGGTTAGCAGTCAAGTGCCTTAGGCACTACACCACCAGAGCTCCCTATAGAACAGTGTAAAGTAAATCAATACTCTTTGTTTATTTCTGCATACATTTGGTAGAAGGGAGACTTATAAGAGATTATCTCTATTTTTCCCCATCCTGACTCTCACTTCATATTTGCAACAGGGTATGTTATTGCCAACAAGAGCCCTGGTGGCACAGTTGTTAAGTGTTCAGCTGCTAACAGAAAGGTCAGCTGTTTGAACTCACCAGCTGCTCCATGGGGGAAAGATGAGGCAATCTGCTTCCAAAAAGATTTACAGCCTTGGAAACCCTATAGAGCAGTTCTACTCTATCCTACAGGGTCACTACTCAATAGCAATGGATTCATTTGTTTGTTTGGTTTTGGTTTTATGTTATTGCCAGAGTCCCTGGGTGATGAGAATGATTAGTGCACTAGGCTGCTAACTGAAAGGTTGAAGGCTCAAGTCCACCCAGAAGCACCTTAGAAGAAAAGCCTGATGATCTAGTTTAAAAAAAGAAAAAAAAAAGCCACTGAAAACCCTATGGAGGCAGTTCTACTCTGATACACATAGAATTGCCAGGAATTGGAGTCAACTTGATGGCAACTGGTGGTAGTGCTGATGTTATTGTCATATGGCAGGAAATTTCATGTTAGTATTTTCCAATGTGTGGTAGACATTCTACTCATAATACACAAGATGATGTTAAGGGGCCTATTGATTAAAATGTGTATTAATATATCAAACTATGATGTTACTTTGATATTACGGCTTTGGATAAAAGTAAATTAAAACAAAATTGTGAACAAATGATAATATAGTTAACACACAAATGTGACATGATTTGTAAATATACTAATACTGAAGAATCAAACAGTCTCAGAGAGAAGAGACCACTGGAAGTAAAATAAGAGTGTATTTGGATAGATCAATAAGAGTTTGCACTTTGTAAGTGATCATCTTCTCAATTTTGGCATTTTCTCTTTACAGATATAGTCTAGTTTTAATTGATATTAAGTATTGAGAAAAAAAAATTAAATGAATACTAGCTCATTAAGTAAGGGATTAGTGCAATATAGGATCTTATGGAGTTTACATATAGTATGTGGTTTATTCACAGAATGTTGAGTTTAACTTAACCCTCCCTTGCTTTATGCCTCTGAAACACAAATTGGGTTTTGTTTAGAGAAGCTTCTGATGGTATTGGGTAGAGCTGCCTTTCTTATCTTGGTTTTATCTTCAAGATAACAAAATATGGAAAAAATGCATTTTTAGTATTATAAATTCCACTGATTATCATAATTGTGAACACACATTATATTGTATGTAACAAGCAGCATTAGATGTTAAAAAGATACCATTATGTGTTAAGAAAGAGGAGTAGGAATCAAAATTGAAGATCCTGGATATAGTGGGAAAGAAAAAATGTGGAACAAAATTATAGAAGCATAAAAAAGACTGGCTTTAACTGGTTGGATAGAATCTGGTAGACCTCCGAGACTATGGCCCTGAGTCACCCTTTGGGCCTGGAATTGAACTCACTCCCATAGTTTAACTCTCAGCCAAATAGTGGACAGGATTAAGAACAACTACACCAGGGAGAATTACTCCTTAGAACAATAAACCGTGAGCTATCAGAAGGGCAGCATTTGCATAGGGAGGAAGGTAGGGAGGCAGGAATGCACAGGCAAGAAGAACCCAAGGAAAAGGTAACCTCAGGGAGGAAATGGGAAGAGAGTGGTTAAGTTGTAAAGAGTGTTGTTGTTGTTATGTGCTGGCAAGTCGACCTGACTCATAGCGACCCCTCCTTCAGTTTCCGAGGCAGTATCACTACGGAAGTAGATTGATTGCCCCATCTTCCTTCCGAGGAGTGGCTGGTGGGTTTGAACTGCCAGCCTTTCTGGGTTAGCAGCAAGTGCCTTAGCCACTATGCTACCAGAGCTCCCTGTAAGGAGTGTAATCAGTGTCATAAAACAAAATGTGTATGAACTGTTGAATGTAAAATGAATCT